CCAAAAAAAAAAAAAAAAAAAAAAAAAAAGCTGGCTTGAGGGGCCAACGGGTCATCTCTAGCTGGTATAACACCAAGCTTGCCCAGGCACGAACGTGATGCTAATGGGGATTGAACACAACCTTCTGAATGTAACTTCTGTGCCTTACCAACTGAGCTACCGTCTTCACCCAACTTACAGTTGGGCCAAATGCAGCTATTATGACCGGGCGTTCTATTCGGGTGAAGACGGTAGGCTCGCAGGCCATATTCCAGGGACTACAGACTGCCGCCAGCTCTAGAATTCTTTGCCAGCTGCCTACTACCGAACTGGAATTTAAACGAATTTCAACTTCAGAAAGAACCTACGGTCTACATCCGTTCAGAGACAAAGGGCCTAGTTGCACTACTCGCCATCCTCCACCACAATTTGTGGCGGATGGGCAGAGAGTGAAAGAAATGAGAATCTGTAGGCCTGGTTGCTATTACTCACCACAATATTTCTTCTTCTACAGAAAAGTTAAAAAAAAATTGTCTGCCTGATCTCGACTCTTGAAGCCGTGCACTCTCCAGAAAGTTGAAGTTGTTTTGTTGAGATGTCCGAGGACGACCACCCTCCACAAACCACCATGCGCAGGTGGGGAAACCGAAAACACTCGCCACAACTTGTGTGTGTCGACAGTGTGGCTAGCAGTCTGACATATTTTTCTTTCGCCAAGTTTGGTGAGTAAGGGCCTGGTTGCACTACTCTCCATCCGCAACATCTTGATTGCATGTGGACATCATATTCGTCCAGATGCATTCGAATTCTTGGCGGATGGAGAGTAGTGCAACTCCAGCCTAAGTGCAACCAGGCGCCTACTCGTAGTACTTGCCAAACTTGGCATAGGGAGAATAGTGCAACCAGGCCCAGAAAGGCAGTGCTCTAAGGGAAAAAAAGAAAAGAAAAAAAAAGGCACTGCACTGTAGAAAGATATGGCTTCCAAAGCAAGATACCTCATCTCTTCATCCATCAGATGAGAAAACAGTGTGCATACTAATATTCACAAATCAAGACCACAGAGGAGTAGGAGTAGGAAAAGAAAGGCAAAAAAAAAAAAAAAAAAAAAAAAAAAAAAAAAAAAAAAAAAAAGAAAGAAAGATGTGCCCAGCAGGGATTTAAAAAAGAAAAAAGAAAAAAAAGGAGTAGGAAAAGAAACCCAGAGTAACCCCATCAGGCAATAAAACTATGCTATACAATTTACCACCAGAGCTTCTCAGAGAATAAGGAAAAAAAGCTTTCAACAGGAAAAAAAGAAAAGAAAAAAGGAATCTGGATGTGCTTTGTCCACATGCAGAAGTTAATTGCGATTTTCTCGCATTTGTCCACAAAGACGCCCAGATTCAGCTGTTGAATCCAATCCTCTCCGCCAGTGGGACTCCATCTCTCTGGTGTTTTCCTCCAGTACTCGAAACTGCCTTCCGCGCAGATTGACACTGGGACTTTTTTTAAGTTCTTTACCTGTTTTTTTGGACGGAATGGCGGCCCGATGCGTACAGGTCTGGTCCTAAATTCGGTCAGATACATTCAAGATTGTGCGAGTTTGACAAAGAAAGAAGTGTGCGAGCCCGCCCTGATCATCAGTCCAACGCTGAGCCACTTTCCCACCATATTAAAACCAATCCAAACCCAAAACACACACACACACACACACACACACTCACAAATGAATAAATAAATAAATAATCATCATCAGACAACAGATAGAGTTCAGACTCAAAAAAGAAAAAGAAAAAGGACGTCTCCAGAATTCGCGAGGAGCCAAAAAAAAAAAAAAAAAAGGCTAAATTTGTCCGAGCCATGTGACTGGAGAGGGGCTGAAACACAGACCAGCGTTAAAAACAACAACAACAACAACAACACAGACCAGCGTTCGAATCCAATGCAACAAGAAGCAGCCGTCGTATGAACCAGGCCGGAGTGCCTGGATCATACGACTTTTTTTTTTTTTTTTTTTAAAAGAACAATGTCTTTATTAAAGCCGGGAACCGGGCCCGGCGTCCCTTACAAAATTACGTGGGGCCCTCAGTGGGCGAGGCATCATCGGCCTTACTCATAGAGGACACCACTGGATTTAACCCACTATCGATTTCGCAGTCCCAACGACGCAAAAAGTAAACGAAAATTTCCACCACATTTAAATTGTCCCCGAAGAGTGAAAACTCTGAGGAAATCTAAAATTCGTCACTAATTACCCCAATTCCCCTATCACATAACCTCAGACAAGAATTACCAATCCTAATTAGTAACCATTATTCCAACAATCATGAAGGAAACGTACGCAAAAAGGCAAGAAAAAACAGAAGAAAAGCAACTGTCGGCGCTGCTTGATGATGCCCACTATTGATCCAAGGTCACCACCAACCCCCTGCCAGTGTTCTGGTATAAAAAAAAAAAAAAAAAAAAAAAAAAAAAAAAAAAAAAGAATAAGCTCATTCTCTGGATCATGCCGGAAACGTCGCCCCTTATAACAAAAAAAAAGAAAAGGGAATAAGGTCATTTTCAATCACCTGGGGCGAGGTCGCATTATCGAGGAGGACAAGCTCCAGACTGGACGGGTTGGAAGCAGAGATGCAGAAAAAAAAAAAAAAAAAAAAAAAGGAATTTAATCCAACCCTCTTTGCTAGTGGGAAATCGCACGGGGGGCCTGTCAGTTCAATCATGACATCTCAAGGTCTCACCCTTTTTCTTAGAAAAAAGGCAAAAGAAAAAGGACAATCGGGACTTTTGGGATTGGGTAAGAGTTGGGTTTGTGTTTGCACCACTTTGTGTTTCGTTTGTTTGTGTTGTTTCGGCTTGGCCCTCCTCCCCGTCCTTTGTTGTGGCTGCTGATTAGTGAACAGATCTCTCTCTCTCTCTCTCTCTCTCTCTCTCTCTCTCTCTCTCTCTCTCTCTCTGTATGTGTTGCATGGATCATCTCTGATAGACGGTAGCTTGCAAAGCTCAGCTGTCAGTCTGCGTTGGAGCTTTCTTTGGAATACGACACGTGTCATCATCTGCAGTGGGACACTTGTTAAAGGTTAGTTCGTGCTGTCGTCGCGTCGGGGTCTGTCTGTTTGTGGTTGGTCTCCTTCTTCTCCATAAGCCTAGTCTTTTTTGACTGTGTTGCTAATTGCTAATTGCTAATTGGCAATTCTCTCTCTCTCTCTCTCTCCATTTATATTTAAATCACATCTCTCTCTCTCTCTCTCTCTCTCTCTCTCTCTCTCTCTCTCTCTCTCTCTCTCTCTCTCTCTCTCTCTCTCTCTCTCTCTCTCTNTCTCTCTCTCTCTCTCTCTCTCTCTCTCTCTCTCTCTCTCTCTCTCTCTCTCTCTCTCTCTCTCTCTCTCTCTCCATTTATACTTGAATCACATATCTGTATCGGGTACGTCACACTACTCGCCATTCGCGAACGTTTTGAATGCATCAGGGCAGAAAACATGTTTAGATTCATTCAAAATGTTGGTGGATGGCGAGTGGTGCACCTAGGCCCAGAGATGTAGGAGATCACTGATCCGTTTGGTTTGATAATATGCTTGCTGACACTCTGGGCCTCGCCGCACCACTCACCAAATGGCAACATTCTGAATGTATCTGGACCAGATATGTGCTCAAATTCATTCAGAGATTGCTGCGGCGATGCCCTCTTTCTACTGCCCCAAACTGTACTGTAATGGGCAGTTTGCGCTTTTTTAGCCGTGACCTTGATGGATCTCGCCATCCGCTATTATTTTGAATGCATCAGGGCCGCATACATGTTCAGATTCATTCAAAATATTGCTGGATGGGCGACCTTGCTGCCGATTGAATTGGATTCGATTGGCTGGCTCTCTTCTTCTTCTTCTTCTTCTTCTTCTTCTTCTTCTTCTTCTTCTACCCCTCCCCTCCCACCCTCCCCTCCCACCCTCCAATCGCTCCTAAAGCTCTCCCTCTAACGGCGGCAATCTGATGAGAGGCCTATATTGAAACGGATGGTTAGTCCGTCGGGACATCCGTTAAAATTGGAACGATACAGAGAAGGGTAAATTAGCAAATGGTCCCTGCGCAAGGATGACACGCATAAATCGAGAAATGGTCCAAATTATTTATAAAAAAAAAAAAAAGAAATGGATGGTCATCCAGCGATCGGGACAGAGCAGAAAGAGGCCAGCGGCTCCCCTGCATGTCCACGAAATCCGTCTACATATCGGACTGCAAAATAATCTCTCTCTCTCTCTCTCTCTCTCTCTCTCTCTCTCTCTCTCTCTCTCTCTCTCTCTCTCTCTCTCTTGTTCTTTCTCCCTGCTCTCTCCATGCGAATTATGGTGGCTTGTACATCGCGGTAGGCGCAGGTTGCGGTAACTGGTAGCTGGAGTCCATGTATGATCTCTGAGAAAAATAATTAAGATAAATCACGATTTTTTGAAGAAAAAAAAAACGAAAATAATTCATTAATAATTAATAATAAATACTGTAAACTTGTGTAAAGAAAGCAAAGTTTTGCTGCTGTATGTCAGCTGCAGTGGATATGAATCCACGTTGGAAACGACGTGGATTTTTTTTTTTTTTTTTTTTTTTTCACTTAACAAACGACGTAGATCTATATTAATCCACGGTTGGGAAAAAAAAAACAAAAAGGGAAAAAAAAATAAAAATACACGGTTGAAAGGAGGCGGGTGGGTGTGAAGAGTCTGAAGAGTTGTGCTGTAGCGGAGCAGCGCGCCCTATGCCGTCCTCTGCTCTGCAAGGACCCCAGGGCCACACTGGTGCTATGTCCGTGCTAAGTACCTGCAGAGAATCTGGTCGTAAAACCGGCTATGTGCATTCAGAACTTAGTACGACTACGACCCTGGTAGCACGCGACTACATCCGTGAGAGCTTAGCGCGGACGTAGCACACTCCGATCGGTAGGGCCAGATCCGGCGGTCTTTCCCCGAACACAACGCACCCTGATAACGAATGTATACAAGGTATGTTTCCGGTCAGGTGCAGCCAAAATGAGGGTGCGTTGTGGTCGGGGGAAAGATGGTAGTTGTAATTGTCTGGTAATTGCGTACTAATCACTACTAATTAGTTCGGTCCAAGTAGTTTCAGGACTACCGTCTTCCCCCGAATACAACGTACGGTCATTATATAGCTGTATCTAGACAGAAAGGTGCCTCAAATACAGCTATAATGACCGTACGTTGTATGCGGGGGAAGAAGGTACCGTCTTCCCCCGAACACAACGCACACTCATCTTGGCTGTACCGGACCGGAAATATAGCTTGCATACGTTCAATTTTCACGGTGCGTTATGTTCGGGGAAGCCCGTAGATCTGTGGTAGAAGGGAATAGTACACAGAAATGGAGAAATTGTCCAAAATTAAAGAAGGAAAAAAAGGGGAAAAAAGAAGAAGAAAAAAAGAGAAAAAAAAAAGAAGAAGAAGTAGAAGAAGCAATGGCCGATAAATGCTCACGAACACGAAGTATGATATTACAAAAATCAACGTGTTCCTCAAAACTCAGCACGCGCACATTCCCCGACGCCGCGTTTCGACCGCCTGCGCTGCAGTCATCCTCAGGAGGCTTTCCACTGCCCTGCTGCCTTGCGGCCACCACCTCACGGACCTTCCAACTTAGAAAAAAAGAAAGGAAAAAAAAGGAGAAAAAAAAGGGAAAAAAAGGGGGCAAAAAAGCTAGGTTGCCAGCGTGGCCCGGGACGTGGTCCCACTAGCAAAGAGGATCGGATCGAATGTCTGAATCTGGACGTGTTTGTGGACAGGTGCAGGAAATCGAGATTGAGCTGCTTTTCTGTATCTCCGCGTTTTACGCTCCCAGATTCAGGAGGTTAATCCTATCCTCTTTGCTAGTGGGACCTCGGCCCCGGGGTCACTTGCCCGGCCGGGCCCAAAAAAAAAGATAAAAAAGTAAAAAAAATAAAAATTATCAAGTTTTAATTTTAATTTTAAATTTGGTAAAGAATTTCTGAGGCAAAAGTTATTCAATTTATTTTTCTGCATAACATAGTTTTTTTTTCGTTTTTTTTTTTTTTTTTTTTTTTTTTTTGCTGGGACCTTCCTTTGTCCTTGCACGGGCTGGCCACCCGGGACCGGGCGGCCTGGCTGGTAGCCTAGGAAAAAAGGGGGGAAAAAAGGGGAAAAAAGAGAAGAAACAAATAAAGGAGGAATTAGTACGCAGTAGTTTTACATTTGTCCTAAGTGCGTTCTAATTAGTTATAGCGCAAATCTAGTCGTACAACTAGTCCGTACTAAAGTCCTGCTAGTACATACAGATCTAGTCGTAAAACTAGTCCGTACTAAGTCCTGGCATGAATCTAGTCGCTGAACTGGCTATGTTCATCCTAACTTACTTAG